TGTGTGAACCATAACCCGAGTAGGTATAAGTACTATCCATTATCAATCAATCAAACAACTATGTATCAGTACCAAATTAGTGTGCTAAGTTAAGTATTACAAATGCCGATAAATTTTTTTAAAAGTAATTCCTGTGCGGAAAACAAAGATATTCGGGAACTAAAGGTTAAAGCACAAGTGTTACCAAATACTCCCAACGAACATCACATTGAGAATCAAATTTGACAGTAAAAACTAAGGAAAGAAAAACTGCACATAAACTGCTTGATGTAATGCTGCTAAGAAAATTAAAGTAAGTCGACCACGACACAAAGCAAAATAAGTAAACCCAGAAACAGATTTCTGGGCGATTTTATCTTTGTTCATCGCTGTTTGTAGAGATTATGTTTAACGAGTGGAGATTCTGAATGAAAATTGAGAGTATTAAGAACAGAGAAATCAAAATCGAAGGAGGTAGAGTTTTGTTTGCGTACCTTCCGAAGTAGAGAGGATGTGGTTTTCTAATCACAATCACAATGTTACAGAATACTCGAGGACCTTCTAATAGAAAATGTGCGGAGTCCCTTGTATAGTTTGTTGGATGACTTGAGAAACAAGTTTCGCTTCAATTATATGGGCCGGGCCAACTGAACCGACTTTCCAAAACTTCTTGGGTTGTAAAGACTCTTGCAGGTCCAACATTTGTACTTAAGAGGCCCATAACAGGTCCATTTAGTAATTCCCAGTCTCCTCCTGGTTCTAATATTAACGTGAAAGTAGCATGAGCTAGCTAGTTTTCGGACTGGTAATAAAAAAATAGTGTTATAAATAGAATCGTATTTAAGTTAAATGTTTATATTTTAAAGTGAGTTTAGGGATTATTACTTGGTGGCTCAATCACTCTTTCTCTATAAATAGAGGTGCTCCATTCAATTGTAATTCATCTCAAATCAATAAGAATTATCTCTCTACTTTTCTCTCCAATACTCTTCTTCTTATTTTATTATTTTATAATACGTTATCAGCACATGACTCTAACCAATTGAGTAGAGGCATCTACTTTGGTCACCAGGCTTTGGGATATGTGCATGAGGCTCAGCTTTTACATAATATTGAGCATAACGATTGTCAATTGATACATGAACTTACTTCATGAATAAATTCTGGATTTAAGGTAAGTATTTTACCTTATTTTTCTCTTTTAAATTTTTGAAATTCAATAATTTGATTTTAAATACAAGTAAAGACAATAAATTTTGATTATAACTCTAATAGAGTTTGTGAGAAATTATAACACCCGAAGTGGTAAAATCTTTATGTCTCGCCATGATCAAATTTATATATGATTATGGGCACAAGAAGTGGAAACTCGTCTCATTGAATTTGCTACATTCTCATTCCCTTAAGAGAATGTGGTAGCAATATGCAATAAGTCTGAAAGAAGACAAAATTATTACCGTGAAGGTATCAATGAATGTGGATGTGGCAATAGACGAAATTATAAGCGTCATCATTATGATAATGAGAATAATAAGGATTCTCAAAATAATCCATCACTCTCTCAAAGTAATGTTTGTCATCGATTTGACATGAGATTTTGCAAAACACATATAGATGATTATGGTCCATTCATGATTTAAATGTGACAACATGTGATTTACGAATACATATTCGTTCTTGAAAGAATATGAACATGCTAGTGGTAGTGAATATGCCGCACTCACCTCTAGAAAGAGGTTTGGAATGAAATTAGAAAATAATGTCATTGTTATGGCATGAATGGTCATTGGCTAAGTATCTATGGTACGTCAAAATATTTTAGCAATGTGATTATTAAAGGACAATAGTAATGCAAGAAACATATCTTGCTTATAATTTTGACCATGACCATAATGGTATAACTTTCTTCTTAAAAGAGATATTCACCATATGGATGTTGATGAATATGTGGTAGTACAAAATTAATTTAGAGCTCTAGAAGAGCCAATTATCACTATTTTGGAGAAATAAAATTGATTATCAATAAGGTATTATGTCGTAGTAAGTCTCAAAGAAACTTATTTAGTTTCTAAAGTATTCGCGAAAGCGGTTGACTATATTGAGACTATAAATAAAAAAAATTAATATCTTCTATTACTACAATCTGTAGCGGGATAATATGTATGTGAAAAGTTACCCGCTTTATTCTTCAATTTGTACTACACAAATAAAAGAATGCCACAATAAAGTAGGAGTTTATTGATATAAAAACTTATATCATAATAAACTTAGAGTTTATTGATAATTGCACACGTCATGGTGTAAACCTGAAGTTTTTCAGTATTGATAATTAATTCAGTTGACATAATTGGTTTATCCATGTTTATTCAAGTATGATGTGCAAAAATAAAAGAGAATTCACATGGGTAAATATTAAAAAATTAGAAAGTTCTTTACGAATTCTCTTATGTTGCTTGTTCTTATTAATTAATAGACCAACTAAAATTGGGATTGAATCCCATGAATGTTGGAAATATCAAAGGTGAATATGAGCCTATTCACCTACCATGTATACCACATAAGAAGCATCTACGAGATGGTTACATGTGCGATTATTATTAACCCGCAACCTGGTGTTTGCGTGGTAATTTGCTCAATAATTTTTATTTAGAGCATAATTTCCAGATTTTCTATTCAAGACAATTCATCTTGATAAGTTAGTTTACATTACAGTTTATTTAGTAAAATAATTTATTTAGTACCTTCACTTAATAGCTAAATTGTTTCTTATGAGAACAAAGTTATCCGTATCAGTTTGATATAAGTTATATACGAAAGTATATTACATTCTCTCTTTATAAATGGTCCAGGGTCAAGAATCAAATAGTTCCATATTATTATTATTATTATTGATGTACGATGTGTATTTTAATTAACACCATAACGCACAAAGATGGATTTTCAAAGTTGAGGAAGCAAGTTAGTTTTTCTAACATGAGGGGGAGATAGGATAAACAGTTGAGAAAAAGTTATGTGGAATGAATTATCATTTGTATCTCTAGATCCTCGAAGATAATATGAACTTGAAATTCATAAAAAGATAATTTATCTGCAATATATTGCAAAGGATACCAGACGCATTTGCTTACCCAAAGAAAGTAACTATATTCTCGCTACAAATGCTTCTATTAGAAAAAGTCCTAGAATGATAAAGTTTATGGTACGTTTAAAGCATATAGACAAATCGGTTTCAAATAAAAATTTTGATAAAGAAGATGAGCAAATGATCATAATGAAGAGGCAAGTGATCTAGGAGATCACATGACATAACACTTCATAAAATCTCAAAAGAGGTTCAGGTACCAGAAAATATGAAAAGATCTATATGTTATGTCTTTATGAAAAAAATGTTGGAACAAATATAAAATGTTCGTCGACGACATCTATGATAGCGCTAAGTATAGATGGGGATCTTAGTTCTGTCGAATACAGACACAAAAATATTGGCCAAATGAAAGAGACTCAATTCGAATAGAATTTGTTTCATATGAAAGACGTATTGTTTTGGACCTGCAGTTCAAGCACTTGAAAATATAAAGTCAATAGTGTGTGCAATCACTTTTATCTATCTTAGATGTCTAGTATGCCATAAAAACTTGATATTCTTCTAAAGTCTATTTAAATGACAATCCCTAAAGGATTTAAATTGCTTAAATCATATAGAGTTCTTGGTTATGAAGTACTATATCCTAAGTGCAATTTGAGCACATATGTATCTTTGTATAACTATAAGCATGATAATATGATAGCGAGAATCTCTATGGAGATATTGAAAAGGCCATTCCACGACATTTTACGAAGACATGACATATTTATCAAGAATGATAATTTCAAGGTGCAACATATTCATAAAAGTTGAATGACTAATTTGTTTATCAAATCTCTACCAATAATCTTTTGAAGACGGTGCACAAGATTGGAATGCAAAGGCTTAAAGATATGAATTGATGCTCTCATCAGGGGGAGCTAATATACGTTGTACTCTTTTTTTCTTACAAGGTTTTGTCCCACTGAGTTTTCCTTGCAAGGTTTTTAATGAGGCAACCAAAAGGCGTATAGTTAGATATGTGTACTCTTTTTCCTTCTCTAGATTTTTTCCCACTGGGTTTATTTTAGTTAAGGTTTTAACGAGACACATTATCTGTTGAATAAACACTCAATGGGTAGTGTTATAAATAGAATTATATTTACGGTGAATGTCTATATTTTAGAGTGGTTTTAGGGATTATTACTTGGTGGCTAAGTCACTCTTTCCCTATAAATAGAGGTGTTCTATTCCATTGTAATTCATCTCAAATCAATAAGAATTCTCTCTCTATTTTTCTCTCCAATACTCCTCTTCTTCTCTTTTATTGTTTCATAACAAATAGCTAATTTTTGCAAAGTCATTGAAAAATAGCCACTAGTTTAGCTCAAACATGGAAAGTTCAAGCATAATATGCTGGATTATGGAGCTCATGCGTATAAACTTCCAGGCTCCAGCATATTATGTTGGAAATCTAACACATTATGAATTTTTGGTATACTATGCTGGAATCTCATATGTAAAAAATTCGAACTCCCGTATATTATACTAGAATTCTCCAGATATTCAAGGGTGTTTTTGTTCAGATTTTATTTTTATATGAAAAAGTAGTTAAATTTAATTATTTTTGAAACTGTAGCTGTTTTTCAATTACCAGTTGTAAATCAGGCTATATTTCTAATTTTCCCCGGTATTAATGGACAATCTCTTACAGTTATATTTGATTGTTGAAAGGAAAAAGAAATTAGATAACTTCCTTTCAATTTTCATCATGTAAAATATTAAATTGCTTGCTTCCTTATGTGAAATATTATCTTTTTAATAAATAAGAAATTAGACATTAATAATTACTCCTATTAAACACACGTAATACAAGAAAAGGGGCAAAAAATCCTTGACCATTAACAACATGAATGATTTACAATACCATTCATGTTCAGAGAGGGTACCTGTGATATTAGCTGAACCAATATTTTCATACAAACCTTTGAACTTCACCATTTTCAAATATTATAATACACAAAGTTCTAAATCAAATATTAAAAATCCATTCAAACTTCCTAGTGAAATTTAGTAGGCTAATTTCACAGGATATCTGTGGATACAATCTTCCCAAGGACTATTTGGTGATGGCCTTACATTCCTAAGTGCTTGCCACACTGCACTATTACACTTGAATCCACTCCCAAAAGCTATTTGCCAAATCCTATGACCCCTTTGAATTCTTCCTTTTGCCTCTATATATGCCAATTCATACCATATGGAACTTGAAGATGTGTTTCCAAATCTATGAAGAGTCATCCTAGAAGCCTCCACATGAATTGGCAAAAGTTGCAAGTTTTTTTCAAGCTCGTCAATCACAGCCCTTCCACCTGTTGAGATATAATATAATTAAATAATTAAAATTGTGTTATCCCTAGCAGTTTAACCTTTTAGATGAGAGGTTTTTAAAATTCAACATCACCTGTATGTATGCAGAAATGCTCGAAAGCTAGCTTGAAATTTGGGATATATGGTTTCATTTTTGCATTGAACAATTTCCTTCCTACCAAAGTCATGAAGAAAAGAAATTGTTCACTAATTGGAAGAACAAGTGGACCTAATGTAGTGATATTTGTCTTCACGGCATTTCCAGCAATTTCTATCAAATGTTTTGACAATGACACTCCTGTTTTCCCCTTATCGTCCTCTTCTTGATATATACATTTGAAGGCCTTGTCATCTGCACCATTGTGAGTCCTCACCACATGAACTAACTTGTATTTCGCCCTCCTCTTGTCCACCGTCTTGTTTGATAACAAGATGGCGACGCCCCCCACGCGGAACAAGCAATTAGGGATTAACATGGATTTCTTGTCACCAAAATACCAATTTTGTGTAATGTTCTCTGTGCTAACGACGATTGCATATGTATTTCGATGAACTTGTAGCATGTCTTTCGCAAGATCAATCGCGATAACTCCAGCACTACATCCCATTCCACCCAAATTGAAGCTCCTTATATTACCTGAGTTAATTTCACGTATAATTACTGAACTTTATTAACTATAACAGTAAAGTTATATAGTTGTTTTCTGTCACGTTAAAGTAACTTAATTTTTCTGTTTGTACCAGTAAAGTCACTAAACTTGAAATGTAGTTGTATTACCTCTCAGCTTGTATTTGTTAACAATCATTGCAGAAAGAGAAGGAGTGGGATTGAACAAGCTGCAATTGACCACAAGTATTCCAATATCTTTTGGTTTAACGTTAGTGTTTTTGAATAAATTGTCTAGAGCACCAAACATGACTGTCTCTGCTTCTTCACGTGCTGCAGCCATAGAAGGTTTTGGTGGAATACAATTCATTGTCTCTGGCACGTACGTTTCTTCTCCAAGACCGGACCTTCTCAACATCTTTCGTTGGAATTCAAGTGAGGTTTCATCAAAATCGCCCGTAAGCCTCGAATGTTCCATGAATTTATAGTACGTTGCCTGTTGAAAATATTAGTATTACTCTTTCCGTTTCAATTTAAATGAGACACTTCCTTATTAGTTTGTTAAAAAAAACGCACATTTTTATATTTGGGAACAATTTAGGGCCCGTTTGGCCATAAAAAAAAATTCACTTTTTTTTTGGAAAAATTCTCCTTTTTTTCGGAATCAGTGTTTGGCCATGAAAATTCCATATTTCACTTGAAGATGAATTTCAGAATTTTTGTTTTGAAAAATTCCAAAAAATTATTTTTCAAAATTTTTATTTCAAATCACTCACAAAAATTCAAAATATCTCCAAATTATATTCATGTCCAAACACTACTCTAATTTTTAAATACCATTTTACTTGAAATTTTTCACTTTTTTCTAGAATTTCACAATTCTTATGTCCAAACGCCCACTTAACTTTAAACTCTTTATTTTTCCCACTTTACCCTTAATGAGAAGCTTTTATAGCCATAAAAATGTCATGGTCCTATAAAGCTTTTGTCCCTTAAGCTTTTAGGAACACATGTTTCAAATTCTTTTTCTCTTAAACTTTGCGCCAAGTCAAAATAAATCATCTAAATTGAAACGGATGGAGTATATATAAAAAATAATCGCGTCTAAGTTTTTAAATGAGTAGGTCACAGAATGCAAACATTACCTTGAGGTGGTCCGGACCACGATAGCATGAATAGTCTACAAGGTAAACGGATCCGGGTCGGGTCATAATGTAGAATGTGGATCCAAAAATCAAAATGACAGATAAAATAAAGATGGTGGCAAGGTTATGTTGAAGATTGAGGTATAAATAATGTATGTCTTGATAGTTCATTTGGGAGCCTTGAACAAAGATGATGGCTATAAGGGGGAGTGAAAAAAGAGACAAAAGATGGGACAGTAAATAATGATAGCCTAATTTCACGTACTTAAGTTTAATATTTTGTAAGAAATCAGGTAGCATTATTCGGGCTTGTTTCATCTGAACTGATGGAGGGGAAGGTGGAGACTGAAAATCTTTGTTGCACATTATGTTAAAGGATGTTCTTCATCAATAGTTGAATCTTGCACAAAAAAAGGCTTTAAAACTTGGGATAAAAAGAGGCTACTACTTGTTTTGCGCAGGTTTCTTTGGAGAGTGGTAGTATTTATATAGAATATTATGGGCTGGTTTGGACACTCCTAAGATGAAAATAATTTTGATAGAAAATATGTTATTCCCTCTGTCTCAAATTATCTGTCATATTTCTCTTTTAAGAAACATTAATTAGAATTTTTTTTTGACTATTTTACCCATATTTTTGTCTTAAGATATAATCTATCTTCATTAAATATTTATTCTATATATGTGTCATCTCCATCATCCGAGGGTCTCCTGGAAACAGCCTCTCTGCCCCTTGGGGTAGAGGTAAGGTCTGCGTACATATTACCCTCCCCAGATCCCACTTGTGGGATTACACTGGGTTGTTGTTGTTGTTGTTGCCATCTCCATCATCAAGAACAATTATTAGGAGGGGTAAAATAAGAAAAAAATAATTAATTTTGTCTTGAACTTTTAAAATGACAAATAATTCGAGACAATTTTTTTTAAAAATCATGACAACTAATTTGAGATGGAAGGAGTAATTATATTTATATTTTCGGTTTAAGTAGTATTGATATAACTTTATACTGGAATCTTAGTATAATTTTATACCACACACAATATGAGATAACATGCAAGAAGTAGAGAGTCAAAAATAAGTAGTACAACGTAATCTATTAATTCCAGTATTGCAATCCCAACATTTTTTATCCGGATATAATTTTATATACTTTTCGGCTAATGAATGCCACTAATTTCATCCGACCGATCAGTTTTGTATTTTGCCCATAATTTTATCTGAAATTAGCTAGAGATACGTGGGCTGGGTTTGGAAATTAAGGTAGATGTAACTACAACAATGCCAAAATCTGGGAAAAAGGAGGAGGAATCCTTCGTAAATGAGGTTGAATGGGACATGGAATGTTTTTGACTAATGAGTGAAGGTATGGTTTTACTTTTACAATACACTCGTAAAAAAAGAAGATTGTGAGAAGTGGAAATTAACGCAGAGGAAAGGAGGAGGAAGGTGGCGTGTGGGGTTCCTTTTGCCAGAAATTTCTCACTGT